GCCCCTTTGACCTTGTCCCAGTGTGTTTTGATCATGTCATCATACCATTTGGGAAGCCTAATTAAAGTCAAGGCACCTCCATGGAGTGCTAGTGACAGAATGTTTGACTTCCTTATCCCTTGTTATGAGCTTGGCAGTTTTCCCAGTTCAGTGATGTTTTATTTATTCAATTCGATGTTTCCTCCATCCCCGAAATAGCACGTTCTTCTTCAGCTTAGATGGGCACTTGTTTCCATTCTATTCCAATGAAACACATATACTTTAAATTTTCATTGCTTGGGCAGGGAATGTGGCTTAGTGGTAGAGTGCTTGCCTAGCATGCATGAAGCCCTGGGTTTGATTCCTCAATACCACATAAACAGAAATAGCCGGAAGTGGCGCTGTGGCTCAAGTGGTAGGGTGCTAGCCTTGAGCCAAAGAAGCCCAGGGACAGTGCCCAGGCCCTGAAGTCAAGCCCCAGGACTGGCCTGCGTGGCTGCGTGGTGAGGGAGGGGCGGTCCACAGGCTACCCAGTTACTCAAATCTGGCACATCGGCATCAGATACAGACCTAAATGAAGTTCCCATTGTGTCCAGTTATAGACGGTTTATCTGTGTTGACTGCGAGGTATGTGAACTTGGGTAAACCCTGCAGGGACGGCTCTGCCTGCGAACAGCCGCGGGTGATCACTCAACAGCTGGGGAACGAGGGGTCCTCGGCCGGTACCTCTGGAGCCCCATCAAGTCCCACTAGAGACTGAGCAAGGCCACGTGGGAGCAGCCGCGAACGAACTCCTCGTGTTCTACCCGTTTCAGAGGAGGCCCCAAAGGTTCCACGGCAACATGGAAGGCGATGGAGGATCAGGCTTGTTCCTCTCATTCTCTTTGATTTCCAGCTGAGGACACGCGCGCAGAGGAAGGGAGCGAAGCAGCTAAGGAGGGCACGCGGGGGAGACTGCCCAGGCCTTCTTGGCTAAGGTTACATTCTAGCCTCTGGAGTGTGAGTCTCGGAAGTCCTCGGGTACCATAGCAACAGTGTCAGCCAGCTTTCTGCATGGGGTTCTGGGAGTTGTAGTTTTTCAGCCTTGGTGTAAAAAAAGAGACATGACCTCCAGCTGTCCTACGGAGGACCGCACTGACCCCAACTTGCGTGGCGTGTCCATACCTACCATGGAAGTTTTTAGGCCCGGACGGACCTCCATGGTGCAGCTAAATGTGAGAAGTTGGAGACATTCTCGTCTGAAGATGGCGAAATAAACATCTGTCATCAGATGAGACTTGGGAGATGGTGGGGAGCCAGACCATGCCAGGTGAAGAAACCGTGCTTGCAAGCTGGGAAGCGCGGAGTAGTTCTGAATGGCCACCTACAAGAGTTTGGGTGTATGTGAGGATTTAGAAAGAAAACTAGATTGTGAAGGGCCTTGGATGCCAAGCTTTTTTTT